AATGATCATGTTGATCATGTTGATCGTGTTAAACACGTGTTCTAATCTTATTAAGGGAACAAAGGAAGATAAAAAGGAAAATGGAAAACAACAAATCAACCTTCAATCAATTTAACCACACTAAACAAACCGCTTTGGCGGTACTTACTATGTCGGTATCGATCTAAACTGCAATTTTAGATGGGGCGGCACCATCAAACTCGCATAAATCTTCTGCAGAATTCATTCATTATCCTTAGCTTGACCGCAACAGAAGAATAAGTATTTAAGCATAGCGAATAAAAAATATACAATCAAAAAAGTCTGAAAAAAATACGAGTAATACAAAAAAGATATACTAAACAGAAACATACAAAAGATACAATATTAAATTTAAATCCGTACAACAACATCCACTGTTACAACAAACAATGCGAAATTTGTGTACGAAGAATGGCAAAAAGATCTGCAAACAAAAGATACAATGCATGTGATGTATCCGCATAAACATTTTTCATTGATTGGATAAGTTGTAATTATCCTTTAGACAAAAGGCGCTAAAGAACAACACCTTCTTTACACCTCTGGGCCACAAAGAATAAGGATACTTTCGTTTTATTTGTTGCTTTTGTATTGATTTATTGATTGCTTTTATCGTACAATAACAAAAATTACTTATATTTATATAAAAAAAATATAATATTATTGAGTATTATGAGTGTACTTTATGAGGTAATTTTGTGTAGGTAAATATATCACAAAAATATATACATATTGCAGTATAAATAATTATGGCTAAGCATTACCTAGACTTCGATAGAATCTCTTTGAAAAAAAAAATGCTAAGCTTCGAAGAGGTACACGGGTTAAATCTATATACATATTTAAGTATGAAAATTAAAATTATTTATTGAAAAAGTAATATAATTTATTGTCTTTTAAATCATTTAAATCATTATGATCATTATTGTTATAATTAAGCATTAATTAGAGCACGAGTTGAATTCAATTTTCTCGAACATAAGCTTCTTTGTCTCTGAAGCTTCTGATCCAAAAAATCTCTTAATAAACTTCGAGAAATATTTAGAAATTTCTATTCGTAACGATTGATAATTATATCTGAACTAATATTATCAATATGACTTTGCTGAGTGCTTGGTTGTGGTATAGTGATTGGTAATAACTACAGATTACCTGCCAAGTACAGGTTTTGCTACATAATTCTGTAGACGGAAGACTTATTTACCATGACAATGAAATTGAAGACGGACCGTCATAGTATGTCAATGGGCATATTAAGGACCTCATTTGTCCTTCTAATTGCAGGCGAATTAATTATTATTAATATTAATAGGTATATTAATGAGTTCATTTTTCCTTTAAATTACAGTATTACTAATAGGCAGAACAATGGTACACTGCGGATTATGAGATTCGTTATGTTGTGAATGGAGAGTGTCTATTGAGTTTATCCAAACAATTTAAGGTTCGTAACAATACATCTCAGTTCAAAGGCCCAGACCGTATTGGCTTCATTTGATAACTACATGGAGATAACATTGTTCAGCTGGACAAGACTGACGTTATTGAGGTTATCTCAATAATAAAAATAATAAGACAAAGCGACCTGTAGTTAAATTTATGTTATTGTCCGGTTTTGTTCTGGGCTGGAGAGATAAGATCTTGAAAGTAATAATACACATTTCCTTCATGTTGTTAAATATACTTCATTTTTCTGGAATAACTTGTTCTATTGCGAAGAAAAATTCAATATATAAGTAAAATTTAATTATTTAAGTTGGCTTTATTATCAAAAATGAA